CTCCGTGGCCCCCTAAGACATCACAGAACCAGAGCTCCCTATGGTGGAAGCCCCCCAGCCCCTACACCCAGTCCCAAGTGACTCTCTGGTCCAGATCCTTGTTTACATATAGGCAAAAGTATTCGCTGATATTTAACAGATAGCCAGGGAGAAAAACCCACAGTCTTTCCACGTGCTATTTAAATGCACTAGTTAGGAAGTTATTATGTATATATTGCTTAAATCTTTCTAGATGTCATTTAAACATAGATGATTTTTATTAATTTACCTAAGAGTAAATTTATTAATTTACCTAATATTTTTATTTATTTACCTAAGAGATAAGGAAAATAAACCATTATTTTTTTTCCCTATTGCTTGCTGAGGTTAAATCTCCCATTTAAATAGTTCAGGTGAGATGAAGCTTTAGCGCATCCAGATTCCTTACTAGACATTTCCTTTAAGAGCTTCCCTCATCCCTACCTACTGCTTTCGCTTCTCTCATCATAACAGAAAGTTATTATGCAAAATTGTGACAAACTAGCTGTTCGACACCTCTGCAAAGGACAGATAGAGAGAAGATGGATTTTAATTATTACCAAATTTAGGTTAGGCACAAGGAAATCAAGATGAATTTCCTGCTATGTGACATGGGAATCAGCTAACAATGGAGTTTATAAAGTTGGCTGAACTTGGGTTCATAGAATCACAGACTTAGGAAGCTGCAAGATCCACTAGTCAAATATCTATTTGTCCATATGAGGAAAAGGAGGCCAATGAGTTTAAACGACTGGCTAGTTAGTTACAGAAGCATGGAATAACATATGAACTTTGAAGTCAGTATGGCCTAGGTTCAAATATGAACTTTGACATTAATTTGTAGCAGGTGCACAATGTCCTTGAGCTTGTTCCCATGTAAAAAAAAAAAAATGTGTGCAATGGCATTTACCTTGCAGGGCTTTTGTGAGAACTGAATAGCACTGAGTGTGAAAAATCTCTAAAAATAGTCCCTCTATCAAATTCTGATCATGTTTGTATGACACAACATTGTCTCTTTTTCTGTAGAACAGAACTGCTGACCTCCAGGCAATGGTCTCTTTCAACTCAAAGATGACATTCTTCATAACCAGCAACCAATCTTTCCTTGCAAAAATTAAGCTAATATTGAATATAACATGTACATATCGTGCCCGTTGGATGTCATTGAAAGATAAGAAATGCACTAACATAGGTCATTCCAAGAATAGGCTCAATTTATCCTTTTAAAGTCTATCCATTAACAATGAAGAATGAAGTGAGGACAAGAAATTAATAAGCCTTCTATTCACCAACTGATCTCTAGTGAGAAAAGGGGAGATCTAGCCTTTGTGGGATCCAAATCTTTAACAATTTTGGAATGTGTTTGAAGAGAAAGAATATCAAATGTGCAGTATAATATTAGGCATAAAAACAATTATTTAGAATGCAAAAAAAATCATAACAGACTATATTTTTTAAAAAAACTGAATAGCACATACATAAAGGAAATCTGATAATTTAAATTTTATATGATTCTCATAAAAGGGAAAACACTGTGTTTATAATTGCATGCCTGCATTAATGAGAGTATTTGTCTTGTTTTGACTAGGCACCAATGAAAACAGAAGTCTCTACTTACAAGGTGTTTCTCCTTCACTATATATTATGTAGTGTGAGTGTGTGTATATGCACATAAATATGCACTGAATACTTCCAGTACCCACTGCTATATCTTCATAGAGTGATGTGATACTGAGTCCTTCTCCTTCATAATACCGTAATAAATCAGCACAATGGAGTAGTCCTGGAAGCCATTACTCTACCAGGGCAGGGGCAATAACTTATGTAGACACGGAAGAAACTGTAAACCAATGAAAATGCCCTATTAACGTAACCTACTGTATTCCTAAACTCAGTGTCCTGGTGCTGAATCCACAAAATGGCTGTACCTAATCATTGCCAGATTATAGGGGACATTTGACCAAGGGGAAGGAAAGTCTCAACCAATTGTGGTCAAAATCTCTTACGTTTTCAAACTTTACAAAGATTTGTTCATGTTTAGGGACCTTACTAGAGTCGTGGGAGGGGCTTGTACAAGTGGAGCCCCTAAAGCTTAAATTTCCTTAGCTTTCTGGTATTCTTTGAGAGAGTATAAGGGAAAAAGAGATGAATGGGAGAAAGATAAGGAGATGAAGAAAATTAAAAAAAAATAAATACTGCTTTGAATTAATTTCAAAGTATTTCTACACTGAGAAAAAGAGGCAGATAAATGATATTATATAATGCTCCAGCAGCTCTATGGACCCACAATCATAAGTGCATACATAAGTAATTCAAATACAAATTTTTAATGTACTGGAAATTACTTATTTAAATAAGAGCTTTTACCTTAAAAGTAATTACCAAGGTATATTATATCTTTATTTGAACAACAGTAGTATTACTAAAATATTTGCAGAATTCCTTTGAAATTGTTTCTAATTAGGTAGTGCGTTATGAAAAAAATCAGGGTCATTACTCTATTACACCTTACATTTTAATCTCAAAATATTTAACACAGCTTTGTTCAAACCTTCTTTAATACAGACACTTTCTAAAAATCAATTTATAGTAAAATAAATACAGATACAGAAAACCACACAAAACAATTTTATATTTAATAATTGTTATTTATTATAATATATTATAAAATTATATGTATCTTATGTATAATCTATTTTCAAGTGAACAGTCTTGCAACCAACACTCAGATCAAGAAATAAAACTTTTCAGCCATCCTACAAGCCTCTCTAAACCCTCAATTATAATTAAAACCTATCCATTCTTCCCCAAATTAAACTATTTTCCTACCTGTTATAGATTCACTTTCTCTATCCCTTTATATATTTATCAAACAAATGTGTATACTTCGACACTATGCCTAGATGCTGTAGTTTATTTATACCAATTTTGAAATTTAAGACATCTTTTGAGTCTTTTTAAAATCTACAGGTTTTTCCCTCCATCTTTTTATTTTGTCTACAATTTATCTGTTGTGGAATCTAGGCCAGGAGTGAGAAAACTTTTCATGTTGGCTGCATTAATTTAGCTGTACTCAAATAAGAACACATTCAAAAAACTTCAGTTTGACATTCTTAAAAATGGACGTTATTTTGTAAAAATCTAACTACTATGCACTTAATAACTTCAAAAAATGAAAACCATTTGTTAATTTTAAAGTTAACTAACCTTTTAATGGCTTTGTTGTGTCTGCTTTTTGTTGGAAAATATTTGAATATTTGGGTGCAGTATGGAGGTCCGCAGTTTCAGTTGATCCTCTGGAAGGGTATCGGTCATTTGTGACCTTAAGGGCATCTTGATTTGGGTTAGATAGAAGAATGTAGATTTGAAGCAATAAGTGGTTAAAAAGTAAGAAAACATTATCTGGGCATGTTCCTGAAGAAGTGGGTATTCTACTTCATTTTTTCCATATTTCAACTGGATCTTTCTTAGTATCAAACAATGACTTTAAAATATCATCTACTAAGAACCCAATCAATTCCATCTGTAGTTCTTTAGGTGCCTCAATGATATCGGCTAGGCGAGGCTGAAGTGCTAATTTGAGTGTGATGTCATGATTCTCAAAGTCAGTGAACCTTTCGTTGTATTCTCGAATCAATAGGTCTATAATAGCTGCATATTCTTCAGACGATTTGCATTTATCACCCTGCTCATCAATGACCTTTGCTAACTGGAGAAAATGTTCATCCAAAGTTTCATTTTCAACAAGAAGTGTTTTGAAAAAAGATAGCTTTTTTTCAGAAATGTTTGGATTTTTGCCACATATCATATATGGATTTGGTTTTACCTTGAAAAGACATATTTGAGTCATTTTGATTTGACATGATAGCACACAGAAATGCTGCATTCCTCTAAAAATCTTCTTTCAATAATTTACATTGCTGATTCTGTTCTTCATAAAATTTAACTATCTGTTCTTGCAGAGATAAAATTTTGACTAGCACTTGTCCCTACACTAGCCAACACACTTCAGAAAGATATGGTAAATGCACACTAAATACTCCATTGTTCAACTTTAGCATGTTATAAAACTGACGGTGCTGTGTTGCATTTGCACTGATAAAGTTAACAATACTCACAACTTGTTACAAAGTATCACCTAAAGTAATAACTTTAGCACAGAGATTTTGCTGATGCAAGATACAATGAAAAGAAATGAGAGCATCTGGATCTGTTAACCCTTTTTTAAATCTGTGCAATAAGCCCTTCATGTTATCCTATCATGGAAGGTGCACTGTCTGTATAAACACTCACTAAGTTTATCAAATTGAGTTTACCTTCGTGACATTTATCTTGAAAGTTTTTGAAGATATTTATTCTCTATGTTCTGTTTGCAAGAGTGCCCAAAGTGAGCAACTCTTTGTAGCAAAAAGATCTTCTGTTGTGACCTGACCAAAGTATTAAAAAAAGTCAGTAGTATCACTTGATTCCTCCAGCATGATTGAAAAATACATATTTTCCTTCCGAAGTATTGCATGAAGTTGTTCTGTTAAGTTGAATGCTTATTCATGCTGCTAATCAGTTATGGTTCTCCTTGAAAGATGAAGTTGTTTGTACTTGGAAGCATTATCAGGGTCTAAGCATCCTACAACTTCAACAATGCATTCTTTCACAATTTTTACATCAGTGAATGGCTTCCCCTTTTTCCCAAGAATGTAAGCTGCTTTTTAAGTTGCTTAAGTAGCATTGTTTCCAGGTCTTATCAGTGCTTGAAAGAATTGTCTTTGCTTTTGCTTCTCATCTTTTAATTTCTACAATACAACCTTTTGTGCCTCTCCCTCTAATTTAAAATACTTGTAGTCCTTATGAGTGTTATAATGCTAATGAGCAATGAATTTCTTTAATGCTGATATTACAGTATCACAAAGCAAGCAAATTATGTTATCTTTAGCAGAAATAAGATAATATTGCAATTTCCAATCCTCATTAAAAAAATCGGTTTTCTTCCTTCAGCATTCTCTTGGTCTTCTTTGACATGATGGGCTGTTAAGCAGACAGAATTAAAAAATATTGTCAAGCTGTGCAACTATTCACAAATTCCACTTCAAGCAGAAACATAGTGCACCACTGTCAAAAGATGATAACAGACTGGCATACTTGACCCTCACAAACTCTTGCCAACCACCCTCCTGCGGTAGTGGCGCCAGTCAGGTGGGGGAAGTTAGAACCAAATCAGAAGTGTAGCAGCCTTCAACTTAGCCCTTATGGCTCACTAATGTTCTAATTGTGCTGGTCAATCTTGAGGATTATTTAGTTAAAACGTATTGTATTCTTTGGTACTTTAAATACGTTCATTTAAAAAATAAAATTCAAAATATAAAAGACGAACAAAAATGCATTAATAAAAATAAAAGGATTTGTTCTGTGAAATTTGGATTCCTTCAAAAAGCCGCACTTAAGGACCTAAAAGGCCATATATGGCCTTAAGGACTTAGGTTCCCCACCCCTGAGCTAGGCCATTTGATCTATAGTGTCCCATAATTTACATTTTTCTAATTGCCATTGCTTATGGTGAAAATCAGCACATTTCTCTCCTTTGTATTTTCTGCAGATTGGAATCCAGATGTTTTATCAAGTTCAGGTTTGATCCCTGTGGCAAGACCATATACATAGTGTGTTCTTTTTTATCAGGAAGGAAAAGTCTAGTTTTCTCTCTTTTTGTGATACCTGCAGTTATTCAGCAGGTCATAAATGTTTGATTCCTTAACTTCATTTATAAGTTCTCGAGGAGGAAATGAAGAGGTTTTTATTTAACTTCTAAGGTGACCATTTTTTTAAAAAAATAATATCATTATGAAATCATAGACTTAGACATATCGGATAAGTTGCAATCCACTGCAATAATTATTCTTGTTGGAATTCAGATTGCCTCATATTTGGCCAGTGGAAGCATTTTCAGGTTGGCTCTTGAGTCCTTTTAACATAACCTAATCATATTTGAGCAGTTCCTTGCTATCTTGTATGATAGATCTTGTACATTTTCCATGTTAAATCTAGAATCAGTCACTTATCTATGGAGTTCTGGTTTCTATTAGTGAGAAAAGGCATTCTGAGACCACTGTCTAGCTGCTCAATGTTCTCTGCCCGTGTGGGTTGAACATTGTAGACCTTTTCAGTGGACAGAACTGTGACACGTTTAAAGATATGTCATACGTTCATACTGATACTTTCTATTCAAATTCATAATGCATATAATATCTTTTTTATTTCATACAAGGAAGCCTGGTTTTCAAGGGCAAAGGATATGTTAGAATATCCCGTAATTATTTTCCTTTATTTCACATTGTGCATGGAACAACCTAAGAATGACTGTAGCAACACTATCATCCCAATACAATTACCAATAAAAGTTGTGCATTTTTTTTCCAAATGCCTTCCCAATTCTCCCCCATGTTTACAGTTGTACCTTTTCTTGATTTTCAGAGTATATGGTCATTACATTATATTCTCTCTCATTTTTAAAGCCTCATATGATCTAGATTTTTAAGTAGCTACACGCGGAATATTTTTTGAGGAATTTTTAAAGCTTTTTTTTTTTTCCTGATTGCTTTATTTGTATCTGGTATGTGAGAGAGTGAGTATAAACACCTATCTTTACCTTTCTATACATTCATCTAACCATGGAGAAACTGACTCTTGTGGGCTTTCTGTCCCTGGGCAGACATCCTGGGCATTTGAGAGGAGATAATCTCTTACTTTGAAGTATACTCAAAGATCAGGTTGTGATTATCAGGCTGTGGTAATGGTGTGAGCTGGTTACTGTGGCCTATAGAATGATAGATGCTGCTACTGGGTTATGGTTCTAAAATCAAGCCCCGGTCTCTACCATAAATACATGGATGCAATTATTAGTCAATCTTCTGGCTATATACTTGAGTGTATATTTAACTTAAGATTTGCCTATGAAACTATTTCCCTGACAAGGAGTCACTTATTGCCAGGGCATCTCTTCACTTGATTATTAAGATTCCCTTTATGCTGTTCTCCCTTGAGCTTTAATTACAGGATTGCAGCATGTTCAAAACATGCTGCCAGATTTCTCACTTGTACAGGAGACAGAACACATATTTCACATCCCCTGCACGTCCTTTATCCCTCTTATTGATTTCCTAGGCAATTCTGTATCGATTTTATCTTCATATTTCAATGCCTCCTTGGTCTTTTTCTTTCTTATTTCTCTGAGCTCTTAGAACTCTGGATTTCTCCTTGTTCACTCAGGTCATCCAATTAAGATTTATGTGTGATCCTCTTTTGCCACTCTGAGGACTCTCTGTGATCCAGGCTGGAGCCCAAATATTCTTAACACGATGACTTTTATCTCAAACCTAAACTATCTATCTAAGCTCTGGTACCCTCAACAGTGTTTGTCTAAAATTGTGAAAAGAAACTCCTGTAAGAGCCCTCCTGCTTAAAAGTATCTCTCTCTGACCTCCCATTCCTGCCATCTGTGTTACTACTCTGTGCTTACTATGATGCTATCACTTGTCTTCGGGGCTTTGTTTTAACAAAGCACCTGCAATAATATTTACACCCAGGAAGGAATAAGGGCCCCTCACCACTCTCAATTCTCTTCTCATAATACATTATTGTGGCTTTGGAGTTGTTAGTAACTTAACTCCTCATGATTAAAGGAAAAAAAAAAAACAAACAGGCTCGCTTTGGGACACCGGACACCATGGCAATCTCTATCAGGGGTGTCCAGCACCTAGTTTAAGGCAGAGCCCTTAGTGCATGTAACACTTTGCATAGGGAAAAATAGCAAATGGCACCTGTTTTGAAATTTAAGGCAGGGTACAATCTTTTTCTAAGTGAACTTTAGAAGATGAAGGTCTTACCCAAGACAATGTCTCAGCTGAATGCTATAATTCAAGGTTCAAAGGAACTTGAAATTGTTGGAACTTGAATTTGGTGTGGAAGTTTGGGGGATCATACTCTCTGAAATATTTTGCTTCTTTCATTGTTTAGAAATCTGAAACACATAAAGGCAAACATGAGTTTTAAATTAATGCTTCCCCTATTTTATAAAACACATCAGATTTTGAGACATCGAGTTTGTCATCATGACTACAGAAACATTGAGCTTGACAATAGGAAGTAACTTTAATCAATGGTTAAATTAACCAATCAGATCGTGTATCCCCAGGACTTGATTGTGTTGCTTGGGAACAAACACAGAGGGGAGATCTGTGAAATAATCTCAGGAAATGAGGGAACCCATGTGGGTAGAATAGAAAAGAGAGTGCAGCATGAGTTCTAAGAGAATGCACTGTGAGTACCATCCACAGCACATTAGTGGAGCAATCCTCCCCACAGGAAGGCCATGTTCTCTGCCCAAGGCAGGATCCTGGAAAGAGAAGCTCCAAGCCTGTAGTACCAACTCAGCTAGTTTGAGATCTTGCCTCCTGGCAGACACTGGAGGTCCATCGTGGAGCAAGGGAGGTTGGAGAAGAGCAATATCCACTCCTGACAGCTAGATAGGGAATCTCAGATGGCTCCACCTCCCACGAGCAGACTTTGTGTCTGGGTGAGGCCACTTCAGCTCATCCCTGGTTGCTTTCCAAAAAAACTGGGATCAGACCTTTAAGCATTGCTGAAAAAACTATCTTACCAGCTTTGTGGAGGCTGAGGGCAAGCTCACACAACCCAGTCCTACCCAGCCTCGCTTCCCCCACCTGCCTGTGCTGTGGCAGAGAATAGGACTCACCTGAAGTTCCAAGGCCCCACCCACCACCTGGGCTATTGGAGTGCTTCTTCTAGGAGGCTACAGCCAATCACAGGTCTACCCAAAATAATACTGCCACTTGTTCCTTCCAGCAACTACCACCTACTGACAGGAAGGTCAATATGTACAGCCTTTTACAGCATTTATGGACTCAGTCATACAGGGTGTGGTTGAGTCTTACCCACAAGCATCATCTACTGTCTCAGAGATTAACCTGGGAGTGCCAGTACAATTAACACTGTTAAGAAGACCACAGGGCTGGGGAAACCAAAAGGATTTCAAAGGGCTCCAACCTCCTTCATCAAAGAGAGACCAGGAATCTGCCCACACACATAGCTCACCACTGCTACAGCCTACAAACAACTAGCAACTGAGAGAACCACCACACTTGGATACCCCTAACAAAGATATCCATTCAGAACCCAGATCGCATCAAAGCATCCACAAGCAAAGCCAAAGGTTCTTACCCAACATATGCTACAGATCCTCCTTTATAAGTAAAGCAGGGAAAAAAGCCCCATCTAAACAAAATAAAATCCAAAAATAAGAAGTGACAGTTGCTCCAGATGAGAAGAAATCAGTGAAAGAACCCCAGAAGTATAAAAAAATCAGAGTGAAAGGACACCCTTAAAAGGGAACACCAGCTCTCTGGCAATGGATACCAATCAAAATGAAATATTGAAATGATAGATAAAAAATTTCAACTATGGATTGAAAGGAAGCTCAATGAAATCCAAGAGAAAATGGAAAACCAACTCAAAGAAATAAGAAAAACAATTCGGGAAATGAATGAAAAATTCACTAAAGAGATTGATATATTTTTTAAAAAGATAGAAAATCTGGAAATAAAAAATTCATCTAGGGAAACACAAAACATAGTAGGAATTTTAAGAATAGACTAGACAAGGCAGGAGAAAGAAGCTCAGAACTTGAAGACAACTCTTTCAAATTAAATCAGTCTGTCAAAAATAAAGAACAGAGAATTGAGAAGAATGAGCAAAGTTTGCAAGAAATATGAGATTATATAAAACAGCCAAATATAAATATCCCTGATCTGATGGTGAAGAAGAAAATGCACGAGGGCTGGAAATCCTATTTGAGGGAATAATTGAGAAAAACTTCCCTGGTCTTGTAAGAAATTTAGATACCCATCTACAACAAACACCTGGGAGATTTATTGCAAAGAGATAATCACCAAGACACATAATCATCAGACTGGCCAAAGTCAACATGAATGAGAGACTCCTGTGAGCCAGGAAATGAAAACATCAAGTAACTTACAAAGGAAAAGCCATCAGTCTAACCACAGACTTCTCAATGGAGAACTTACAAACCAGAAGGGATTGGGACCCCATTTTCAGTCTTCTTAAACAGAACAGCTACCAGCCTAGAATTTTGTATCCTGCAAAACTTCCATACATGAAGGAAAAATGAAGACTTTTCCAGACAAGCAAAATCTGATTGAATTTGCCAAGACCAGACCTGCCCTGCAGGAAATACTCAAAACTGCATTATACATGGATCAGCACAATAGATACCCACCAGTGCAAAAACCACCCAACAGCTAAAGCTCAGATCTCATACAAAACAATAGCACAAGAGGTAAAACAAAGCAATAAGGTATTACCAACAGTATGAACAGAACATTATCCCACATACCAATTCTAAGAAATAATGAACTTAACCAGGACTCTAGAACAAATGGGCCAAACAGATATTTACAGAACATTTTACCAAAATCCTACTGAATATGCATTCTTCTTATAAGCACATGGAACATTCTCCAAGATTGATCATGTCTTAGGCCACAAAACATACCTCACCAAATTAAAAAAAATAGATGTCACACCACGTACCTTCTCAGACCACAGTGGAACAAAATCTATAAATCAACTCCAAGAGAAACACTCAATTCTACATAAAGTCATAGAAATTAAACAACCTTGTGATAAATGATTATTGGGTCAATAATGAAATTAAGATGGAAATCAAAAGATTCCTCAAACTGAATGACAAAGGGGACATAAGCTATAAAAATCTATGGGATTCAGCAAAAGCAGTCCTGGGGAAAAATCCATAGCCTTAACTGCCTAGATAAAAAAGACAGAAAGATTACAAATTAACAATCTAATGCCACTTCTTAAGGAATTAGAATAGGAAGAGAAAACCAAAACCAGCTGAAGAAAGGAAGTAATGAAAGTCAGAGCAGAACTAAATGATATGGAAAAGAAACAATCAAACAAAAACAATACAAAGATACAATGAAACAAAAAGTTAGTTGTTTGAAAAGTAAACACAATTGATAGACCTCTTGATAAATTTACCAGCAAGAGAGGAGAAAAGACCCAAATAAGCTCAGTCAGAAATGAAAAACGAGATATTACAACTGATACCACATAAATACAAAATGTCATCTGTAAATACTATGAAAATCTCTACACATAAACTCCAAAACATACAGGAAATAGACAAATTCCTAGAAATTCACAACCTCCCAAGACTCAATCAGGAATAAATAGAACTCTTGAATAGTCCAATAATGAGCAACAAGATTGAAGCATTAATACAAATTTTTCCAACAAAAAAACCCCTCCAGAGCACATGTATTCACAGTTGAATTTTACCAGATCTATAAAGAAGAGCTGGTACTCATACTGCAGAAATTATTCCATCACATCGAGGAGGAAATCCTGTCTAACTCATTAAAGGAAGCCAATGTCACTTTGATACAAAAGCTAGGAAAGGACACAACAAAAAAGAAAACTACAGACAAATATACCTTGTGAATATAGATGCAAAATTCTTAACAAAATACCTGCAAACTGAATTCAGCAGCACATTAAAAAAAATAATAAACCATGACCAAGTGGGCTTCATCCCAGGTATGCAAGGATGATTGAACATACATAAATCAACAAATGTCATTCACCACATAAACAGAAGCAAAAGCAGAGACCATATGATCATCTCAATAGATGGAGAAAAAGCATTCAACAAAATTTAGCACACTTTCATGATAAAAACCCTCAACAAAATCTCAAAATTATAAAAGCCATATATGAGAAACCCACATCCAACATTATACTGAATGGGGAAAAGTTGAAAGCATTTCTACTAAGAACTTAAACAAGACAAGAGTGCCTACTGTCACCACTTGTATTCAACATAGTGCTGGAAGTCCTAGCCAGAGCAATCAGGCAAGAGAAAGAAATTAAAGGCATCCAAATTGGGAAAGAGGAGGCCAAACTATCTCTTTTTGCTGATGATATAATCTCATATCTAGAAAACCCCAAAGACTCCACTAACTCCTGGAATTGATAAATAAATCCAGCAGAGTCTCAGGTTACAAAATCAATGTACACAAATCAGTAGCATTCCTATACACCAATAACAGTCAAGCTGAGAATCAAATCTAAGACTCAATACCATTCACAGTAGCCATGAAGAAAATAAAATACCTAGGAATATGCTTAAGTTCTCTACAAAGAGAAAGTTCTCTACAAAGAGAACTATGAAACACCGAGGAAATCACAGATGACACAAACAAATGGAAAAACATATCATGCTCATGAATTGGTAGAATCAACATTGCTAAAATGTCTGTACTACCCAAAGTGATTTACAGATTCAAGACAATACCTTAAAAATACCAATGTTATCTTTCACAGATCTAGAAAAAATAATTCTATTTTTTGTTTGGAACCAGAAAAGAGCCCATGTAGCAAAAGTAATGCTAAAGAAATAGAATAAATCTGGAGTCATCACATTGCCAGACATCAAACTATATTACATGACTATAGTAACCAAAACAGCATAGTATTGGCACAAAAATAGAAACAAAGACCAATGGAACAGAACAGAGAACCCATATATAAAACCATCCACATACAGCCAACTGATCTTTGACAGAGCAGACAACAATATACACTGAGGAAAAGAAGCCCTATTCAATAAATGGTCCTGGGAAAATTGGATAGCCACATGCAGAAGAATGAAACAGGATCAATACCTATCACCACTCACAAAAATTAATTCAAGATGGATAAAGGACATAAATGAAAGGCATGAAACCATACGTATTCTAAGAAAATGTTGAAAAATCTCTTCTAGATATTGGCTTAGGGGAATAATTTATGAAGAAGACCCCAATGGCAATCACAGGAACAACAAAAATAAATAAATGGGACTCGATTAAATTTAAAGGCTTCTCCACAACTAAGAAATAATGAACAGAACAAATAGACTAC